ACGGATTGGACTAAGGAAACGGGGCTCCCGAAGCCCAAACTTGAGGCCCAGGGAAGTGACAACCTTCTCAAGGCGCAGTTCCGCTTCTGCTCCAAAGGAGAACTCGGCTTCATCAATGCAAAATACATCATCAGTGCCTTGCCAGAGCTTGAAGAGAAGCCTTTCAAGACAAGGCGAAAAGTGACAGTAGACGGTTGGGATAAAGAAGAGGAGGAAGAGGAGCGGAAGCTCCCGACCACTCGGCGACACCTGGAAAGGATGCACCGCGTCTTCCGCAACAATCTTTCGATGTGTCTTCTTGCTTTCCCCCAGTTCTCGCAGTTCGATGCGTCTAAGCATGACCTGGATGATTGGTATGACTGGTTCTGGGGTCCGGACATTGCGGGGCGGACTCCAGCCCCGTCGGAGAAAACTCTCCTTTACGCTGAACGAAACGCGTGGAGAGCCATCCACAATCTGGTCTACGAGGGCAAATCGCTCAAAGAGGCCATGATGGAAGTTCGTGCTGATGCCCTCTTCTGGACAAGGGAAGTCTACGAGCGCGTGCCTCGGCCTGGGGAGAAGGGTCCGAAGGGCACTCCGAAGGGTGAGAAAGGCACTCCCTTCGCCAAAGCCCCGGGCAAGGGGTCCTGGAAAGGCAAGCAAGCCTGGCCAGCGTACCAGCCTGTGTATCAGCCCTTTCTTAAGCAGCCCACTAAGGGCAAAGATGGTAAGAAGGGCACTCCCAAGGGAAAAGGCAAAGACTCCTGGCCCCAGTCTTGGTCCAGGAATAATCCTAAGGGCACTCCCTTCTGCCGAGATTATCACATCAAGAAGCAGTGCCCCGGAAACTGTGGGCGCTCCCACAACTGCCCGGTCACTAAAGACGGTTGGGTGTGCAATGCCCCTCCGAATGAGCACAGTCCGGACAACTGTCCCTACAAGTGAGGACTTCCAGTCCCAGGTGCCCTTGGCCCTGAACGAAGAGACGTGCCGGAAGTGGAGACACGAGGTGCCCTCTCCACACCAGGTGCCCTTGGCCCTGAAGGAGTACAGGCACGGGACAGATCGCGATCTCCCTGTGGGAAGACCGCCCCCGCGCCAAGGGGGAACACCATTCATGTGGGCATGCAGCCCTCTGGTAGTGCTCCCTCGGATGACAAGCCCTTCTCTCTCGGGCCTTGGATTGAGGAACATTACCCGGGCTCTCTGCCTGCAAATTGTTCTCCTGAATGGCTTAATGGGGTCCCCGACCGCCTGGTCCGGAGACTCCGATGGTCCCCCTCCGATTGCGCTGCCAGCATTCCTCAGGGTGCCATAATCTTGCCATTCGCGGGCCGTGAGGATGCTTCATCCCTTGAAGCGATCCTCCATGCTCAAGCCCCAGACCTCTCCTCGAGAGTTCTGGCCTTAGATTCCTCTAGGAAGCCCCCTGGTAAGGACCTCCTTAACAACACACTGTTTGGGTCTCTCTGTGCGTCGGCGCTGCAAGGAAGCATCTCCTTTGTGGGAGGATGCCCGGACCTCAACACCTGGGGTTTGGATAGATGGTTTCAGGACTCGGGTACTCTCCAGGCAGTTAGGTCCCGCTCGGCGGAGAATGCCTGGGGGATTGCCGCTCTCCCTGAGGCAACGCTCCACTCGGCGGATGAGGAGAGCACCCTGCTCCTTAGGTTCCTTCTGCTTACATGGCTTGCCTTCAAGGCGACTTCGTCTAATGCTCCTACTAAGGTCTTCTGTTTTCTGGAGATGGCTGAGGACCCTGCGCGAGGAGCTACTTCTCCGTCCAAACGACGCTCCTCATCGGCCTGGGCCACTTCGGCTCTGCGTGCTTGGACCTCAGATTTAGGTCTTCGTATTCTGCACTTTGATCTGTGTTCCTTTGGTTGGGTTTTTAGTCGTCCGTCTAGAGCCATGACGAATCTTCCCCTCCAATCCTGGGAGGGTAAGACCTGCACACACACCCATCACCCTAAACCGGATCGTCCCGTGCCGGGCGACGCTCGGCGACCTGAAGCCATGCTACAGTGTAAGTGCCGATAGACTTCGCGACACAGGCCCTCCAGCAAAGGATTCACCGCCGGATCCTGTTTCCAAACTCTTTGCGTGTCCCTCGCTGGGACAGGAGCGTCCTCACTGGGCGGCTCAAGGGTCAGCACCCCCTGGGGCGGCTGTTCAACCCTCCCTACCCTCGCTGGGGGGGAAGCGTCAGATTGCCGGGTTTCCTGGTGCAGGTACCCAGGCAGGCGATCACTTGCTCGCTGCGACCCCGATGATTGGGTGTGATCGGCCTTCGACGCTACCGCTCTCGGAGAAGCTTACCCTAGACGATGCCACAATGCGTGTGACCCATGGCTTTAAGGTTAGGCCCCTAAGGGACGGTGGAGGTAAGACCTCTCCGGGTAGGACCCCTCCGCACCTTCGCAAAGGACCGACGGCTCCTGCTCTGGGCAAGTTCATTCGCGAAAAGGCGGGGCCGCTGGTCCCCTCTTTCCTATCCTCAACGGCCGCAGGTGCCAAGCAGCACCCCTTCCCGGAATCTGTTCTCAACGAGATCCGTGATTTCATCTTGCCCCGGGGCACCCAACCGGATGCTGGACAGCCCTTTCACTTGGACGTGATCAGGAGGCTCCTGTGTGACATCCAAGATGTCGATGCTGAGTATCCGCAGATACTAAAAGAAGGAGTCCCTCTTGGAGTGGATACCCCTACTCTCCAATCTCCGGGCGTCTGGCCCTTGAAGTCGGAACTCATTGGTGAAGAGTGGGACCCGGTGGAAGCTCCACCCCCCACTGGCCATGCCAATTACTCCTCCGCGGACACATTTAGGGAGGAGATTCGGGCCACCTTTGTTGAGGAAACCCCCTTGGGCATGGTCATTGGACCGTGCACTCGCGCCGAGGCAGCGGCGCACTGCCAGTGTGAAGAGGACGAGCTCTGCCCCTGCCCCATGGCAGGGATTGATGAGTCGGACAAGATCCGTTCCATCTTCGACGGGTCTAAGGGTGGTGCCAATCTCCGTATACAGCAGAATACCTTAGAGAAAACCACGGCCCCGACGGTCATGGACTGCGTCCAATGCCTGCACTAACTTCGGGCATCTCGCTCTCGTGGGAAACCAGGTGCCCATGGCCCTGATCCTGAGGAGCATGCAACCCTGGTGACGAGGACTGGATCTTGCTCAAGGCTGATGTTACTAAGGCGCACAGGAGAATCAAGATTCTCCTACGAGAGTGGCGTTACCAAGTTGCCCAGCTTGGGGAGGAATGGTGGGTTAACACCGTAGGCACCTATGGAATGGCCAGTGCCCAGCTCTACTGGGGAAGGATGGCTGCCATCCTTCTTAGGATTGTGTATGCCGTGTTTCCCGAGGTCGACTGGGGTTTTGTCTTTGTCGACGACTTTGCCTGGCTACTCCGTAAATCGACTTCCCCTCTGCTGGCAACAGCGATTTGCTTGCTGTTGCTTGCCCTCGGCACTCCTCTGAGCTGGAAGAAAACCCTGCTTGCTGAGGTTAATACCTGGCTTGGCTTTGTCATTGACCCAAAAGGACCCTGTGTGCAGATGGCCCGAGACAAGCACCTGCTTGTCATCGGCATTCTTGAAGAGCTTAAAAGCGGTAAAGTCATGTCGGCTTCTCAGATTGCTAGCGCTTTGGGTAGGCTGCAGTGGGCGACAACGGCCTGCCCCCTCACCAAGCCTTTCCTCCAACCCTTTTGGGCTTGGAAGAAGGCCTGCCTAACCGCAGGACGTCCGGGTAAGCTTATCCGTGCACTCTCAGCTCTGCTCCTCTCTCTTTTTGACCAGAAGTTCAGACAAGCATCGCCGTATGCCCCGCTTGCCATTTGGTCGGGGGCAAGTGATGCTAGCGCCTCAGATGATGGCAGCGCCTATGTGGGCGGCTGGCTTTCTAACGCGGACTCCCCGTCCAAGTCGGAAGTGTTCTGGTTCCACTACCAGGTCACTGCAGAGCGGCATCCATGGGCCTTTGACAAGGGCTGCCCGAAAAAGCGCATTGCTGCCCTCGAGATGTTTGGCACACTGATCCTTTCTCACTTTCTCATGGAGAAGGCGCCTGCGTTCATACCGAACCTCAGGCTCCCCCTGGTCAGCGACAACCAAGGGAATGTGTACTCGCTCCTGAACGATAAGTCCAAGAGGATGCCAACGTCGGTCATCCTCATGGAGATACTGTACCAGCTGCACCGGCATGGTATGCAGCTCGCTCCCTCCCACGTCAAGCGTGATTTCAACACTTGGGCTGATGATCTGACTCATCCCAACTTTCAAGGTTTCACTCCGTCTCTCTGCTTGCCGGTGGAACCCGTGCTCGAGCATTTTTCCCTCATCCGCTCTATTCTGGAAGATCGTATTTTCGACGACCCTTCTGACCTCACCCATGGGCCCGCGCAGGGCGCCCGGTGAGGATGTGGCTGCCTCCTGTACAGGCTTCTTTCTGGACGGCACAAAATTTTGGAACTCTTTTCTGTACAAGGAGGGTTCCCGATCCACAGGTGCCGTAGGCCCTGAAGGAGGGGACCCTCCTGTGTTTCGAAACGGCCTCTTTCTTGGCTGAGGTCTTCGACCGAAGGAACATCCCGGGAGTCGGCAGCCACACCAATCCACCATGCAAAAGAGGGCTTGCGTGCATGGTTTTTGGTGTGCCATTTTCATGCGGATATCTGACATTTAACCTTGTCCCTGCTTTTGCTTCCAAAGTGGGAGGGGAGGTACCAAGCTGACAGAGTCAAGATAAGATCTATGGAAATCACATGTCAGCTGAGATTTAGAAGTTCTTGGATATGCGACGGCCTTTCTGCCAGTACTGCCTATACTGCTAGCATGCCAGCAACTCGCCCTCTGCTCGAAGGTCTGAAATGCTCAGTTTGGCTTAACGCATCCAAGAGGAAGACCAGTTCAGTATCACTTTCAATTCAATTGGCTCCAACAGCTCGCATCAAAGAAAGCTTGGAGTTGGCAGCAGTTCTGCACACGTCTGCTCGGTACTGGTGGGACTTCAGGTCAGGCGCGAATGTTGAATCAACTATGGCAGCCAACAGCTTAGTTCATTTCCAGCCTCAGGCTTGCAAGGGTCTCTCCGCGCATCCACGCCATCTTTGCGCGATGATTCACGTCTGTTCAGGTGCAGGCTCACCCGGGACTTGACTTCTGGACTGAAAACGCTGAAGGCTCTTTCCTAAGTGCAAGGGCGACACCTGCCAAGACCTTTTTTGCCACCTCCGGATTCTCCCCATGCCGAGGCTGGACACCAACAGATCCCTGAAGAGCTTTCTCATTTCGCGCTGCAGTGGTTCGAAAGGTCAGTCGAGGTGAGGACTCAAGCATCCAAGTCCGTGACTGTCCTGACAGGCAGCTTGAGATGCTGGTGCTGCTACGATGCCGGAAGCGCTACTTCGTGCTCGCCTCGAACGGTTCACATGTTGTGAGAAGGAACATGTTAGATTCCACTAATCCTGCATCACAGTCACAGGAATCAACTGTTGCTTAAGGCCCGCAGCAATGAGACCAGGCTTGTGTCGCACTTGCCCGGTCCCCGATATTTCGGGCTAAATGTGCAGCAGACCTCATGCTCTTCCGGACTGCCAAGACTATCCGATGAATGCTAGCAGGACGTCTTGTCCTATGATGCCCAAAAATTCAGGGCTCCAAAGGATAGGCAGGGGTTGCTGCTCCTGCCGATCCGATCATGATCTGTATAGGGGTGCAGTCAAGTGAACGCTGGCAACACGATTCGGAGGAGGTATGCTTTACCTGTATGACGAGAGCCCCGAAGCTAGCGATTGACCGGTCCGGTCATGTCCTGTCCGGATGAAGTCCCCTGACTCTCACGCTCGGGAGCATGTCACACGTTAAGTTGAAGGTGGGCCGTTTCGGCCCCTTGCCACGTCTGTCGGGATGATGACTGTACAGCCCTGGAGGCCTTTCGGTTGTTACTCCATCACCTGCACCCGCATCGCTATTACCCGGCACAGTCAGAATAGCTTTTGATGTCGGCGAAAGCATCGAGAATCAGCATCAAAGCCAACCCGCAACGGACCGCCAAACAAACACGTTATTGGTAGCATCCTCGTCCACAACCCGCTGGCAGTCAAACCAAAGAGATACGAATGATATCGTATCTGGTGTTTTTATGGGCTTGGATTCGTCTCGCAGTCTGCATGCACTGAGGAAACGCTGCAAGCGCACGGCGCAGATGCTTCTCTGGTTCCTCATCAAGTGTACGGAGCTCCCACTCTCGCGTCTTGCAATCTTGGTTTATGTGGCGGCTTGGTGCTTTGCAGTGCAGGACATGAGCGGCGAGTTTCATTACACAGCGGATGTGATGACGACGGTGAAGGACGAAGACTTATCAAGCATCCTGTAGCGAAGTCGGGCACGGAAGTCGGCACTCGAACCGAATGGGAGCAAAGATGCCTCGTTGCAGGACTGGGAACAACCAGTCTTTGCAGAAACCTGGTCTGGCTCTGAGTTGTGCGAGGTAGCGAAATCAGCTGGCAGATCGCCAGGTGCAAGCTTGCATACCGCGGCACCCAGCCGCTGCTTTGCTTCAGAGGGACACACTGCGCTTTTCGCGTTGCTCAAAGCAGAGAGTTCACTTGAGTCCCCGGACTCGTTGCAGGATGGACGGTCGAGATCGAGTCCCTGCAAGCTACCTTTGGTGCGCCAAAGGACCCTAGCACACCACAAAAAAGCTGTGGGCCTCAGTGGCCGAGGCAAGTTCCTTGACAGGTATGTGCCATACATCCTGGGGCGAATCGAGTGGAAGCTTTCGAAGCTGTGTCCCGCAGCTTTTCCTCATTTGGACAGCACGTGCTAATAGCTGCCGCATGATGCTCTCGTTTCGCTGACGGAAGGTCGTGGTGTCATTTGTTGAGCTGCAGCTTTGCCTTGTGATGACTATGTGTGCTGAATCGAGCAGAGGCTTCACCAGAGAAGCTGGAGCGGAAGAGCATCATTTGCAACCCTGCAGCATTTGCGGCATCAGCAGGGGTCAGCACTCCGACTCCAAGCTTTCACCACGATCTTTGATTGAGGCCTTCTGATGGATGCTTGCCATGTGGAGCTCGCAGCCGGTCACCGAGCAGTTCCGAGTGGTCTTCCGACCCTGACGAGACCTTTCTTGAGCTACTAGTCACCTACTAGTCCTCTCAGGAATCATCTCGACAGCTGAATTTAAAACACTGATGCCCGATGAGCCAAAGTCGTCAGGTGCGCGCTTCTCTGACAGAGAGGCGTGAGCAGTGTGAATGTAGGCCGTCTGCCCCCGCACCGACTTGGATCTTGCACCACGCCTGTCGACAGGAGGAGGGACGAGATCATGGAGACCGAGCCAAGCTTCAGGCCAGGACAAACACGGATGATCGTCCTCTGGCTGAGGCTCTGGGTGACGATGCAGCCTTTCATGTGAACTCCGCAGGCTGCATGCAGTTCGCCTTGCAATCCTGTTTGGGTCTCCAGACGGCAAGCTCCTTACCCGAGTTTCTTGTCCATTGGCTCTGCTAGTATACGGCCTGGATTAGGACCTAACTTCACGAGCGATAGCTTGACTGCATACCCGTACCCTAAGACCAAGCGTCTGCAAGAGCTTGAGCGGTTGTTTGCAGGCTATGAGAGTGCCGGAACGATCTGTTTCGACACGAACTGTCTTGAGCTGTCCATTCCTCGGAAGCGCTCTGTGGAGCTTGCTAAGGTCGTTGGCAGGCTTTGAGAACCCAGACAGAAGTCAAGTTTGTTCGTGGATTCTGGTGCCTGAAAGGTCGCGGCAAAATGTTATCGTTGACGCGCTCAAGGCTTTGCGCATGCCCAGTCAATACCTATGCCAAGCACACACACCTCGGGAGGGGATGCAAGCCGTCGTGCAAGAGAACAAGTGCCACATGGGCAAATACCTCTCCTGCGAGGTGCCAGCTGCCACCCAACAGTTTAGTAGAAGAGTGTGTTGTAGTGCCCCGATGCCATTTGTAGCGAGAGGGCACCTGCACCATCTTTACAAAGTATCCGCATCTTACAGCAGGCGAGGGCTTTGCTGGACAGTGGCGAGTTGAACAGGGCAGCTGACTGCGCAAGAGGCTTACTCCAATTCTGGGATGATGAACTCGGCTCTATTGGTCAAGATCGGAGCCGCTTTAGCCAAGGTGATCAAGATTGTGGATGAAACGCTGCGAGCCCGCAGACACCCTACTGGCAGCATCAGCGGGATTGTCCCTGAACATGCCTGAACATTTGTCATCACAAGTACAGAAGCATATAAAGATTCGTCAGCGGTCCAGCCCGCTGCAAGGCAAGTTCCGAGTGCCCTCCTTTGGTGCTTGTCCTTGTCTTAGAAATTTGGAACTGGGCAACGCATCTTGTAGCGATGTCCCAGTGAGTCCAAGTGGCGCGACCGCTCCGCCGAAACCCGAGGCCTCAATCCTCACGTCATGCACTGTCAGCAAGCTTCTTACTGTGAAGTGGGCGTGTGCATCTCTCATCCGGCAACCTGTTGCGTTACCACTCAGATGTATGCTCCAGACTGAGGCGCGCCCGGAAGGCTGGGCAACACGACTATGACCACAGTATGCTACAGTGCTGTCGAAACCCATTCGTGGCATAGCGAAGATAATTGCCTCGGACTTGAAGGCAGAGAGGCAGCAGTGGGCGGCCATGCAGACGTGCACGGTGCTCAGAGGTCACAGCATGTCGCAAGGGAGGCAAAAGAGCCCGTGCCTAGCCGCCTAGCACGACCCAGGCCTGGAAGTCCAACAGGCCATCTTGCAGTCCATCCTGGGAGTTCAGGCCGGAGAACTGCTCGCCGTTCCCTTGAACCCGGGATATATTTGCTTTGGTGTCTTCGCGGCAGGGCTACGCTGCTCTGCAAGAGAAGTGCGGTACAAAGACTCGTCAGTGAAAGTCAGAGACAGTCACGCTGGACTTGAGAGCTCTTCCGTTGCTTTGGCTCGCAAGCGTTCACGAGAAGATCCGGCTACAAAGTTGGCCGGCGACACTAAACAGGAGAACAAGAATCTCAAATGTGGATGCTTGATAGAGGAGAGCCTTGCAGCAACCTCGCAATGCCACCATCGTTGGCACTTGCAGAACGGCGGATTCTTGTTGCCAGTCAGCCCAAGTTGCGACAAACAAACAGCCACCTTAGCAGCATCCATGAGCTTGGAGAAGTTGCTCCATGCGCATGGACATGAAGCTCAAAATGAGCTTCATCACTACGAGGAGAGCTACTGGACCACCCGCCAGAGCCTAAAAGGAGTGCCGTGCTCGCGTTCTGAGCATGCTAGAGATGCCCATGTCAGCCCTTGGCCCACTGTTGCAACAAGAGGTCGAAGAGACAGTTGGTGCAGCCAGCTCAGCCAACTAGCAGAGCCACCCGGCTGACTGCAATGTACGCATGCAAAGGGGTCTCTCGTGCCGAAGAGCTCAGGACACCTTCGACACAGAATGCAGATGGTGAAACGCTGAATCTTCCTGTGGAAGCTTGGACTGCATGCGCGCGGTCGTTGCCGGTGTGCCCGCTGAGTCCATGTCCGGCTTGCAGGAGGAAGAGCCCACTTCATCGATTTGCGGCTGTGCGCTTTCGCTCGTCTCGACCTGCGCAGCTCGGTCTGGCATCATCTTCTTCGGTGGATGCCCTCCGTTCCGAGATGGGGAGTTGGGTGATGCGGGGCACAGCTGCGATGGTACTGTAGCACCATCTTGGATATCTTGGGTTGTCGGGTTTCTTATATCATCTTATATCGGAGTTGCAAGGTGTGCGAGCAAGCACATTCCCAAACTTCGTGGCTCTGCCCTGTAAGATCTTTGGGTTGAGGTGGGCAGCGGCCTTCTGGCGCTGCCTTTTGCATTCGCTGCAGCTGGGCACCTCGTCCTGCAGATGTAGTCGGCGAGTACCGCGGTTGCAGAAGTGCGTTGAAAGCTGCCGGAAAGGCCCGTACACGGTCTTGGTCTCCTTGCTGGGTCAGCCCTTCTCTCGGCTTTCGTATCGCTGCTGCCGCTTGTCCTGCACATTTGTCAGGTGGAGCTTGCATCTTGGAGCGCTTCTACTTGATGCCTGAGCGAGCTTGAGTGTGAGGCTGTGCATGTGCTGCGACTGGAGCGAGAAGAAGTCTTACGAAGAGCTCGCAATAGCGGCCTTTGGCAGCTGGGGCTCCGTGACCGGTGCTGCAACTGTTGGCACCGACTTTGCCGCGGGCTTGCCGGATGCGTGCAAACCCGGAGCTGAGGTGATCATGGAGCTGATGGTCGTTTGGCTTCTGCTTGGTGCGATGACGAGCCTGCTGGTCATTGCGGGTGCGGGTCACCTAGTACCACGCACGAAGCATGAAGTGATACTGCCATTGAGTGATAAGTCGGCAGTACTCAGCGTAGGCCTCAAGCGAAATGCAACGTCGTTTTGGTTGGCAGGTGACTGCTTAATGGCAGTTGGGCCCAGCTTGGATTTAGACGCCAGCCTGCATTTAAATGGTTTGTCGCGACTATCGCGACGCGTGCATTGCCCATCGACGGAGATTGAAGTGGGGTAGGTTTCGAAGCACCATGGAGCATGGACACCTTGCACCGGTGATTTCGTAAGGCTGGCTCTGAACGACGTGGCCTGCTCACAGTCTGGTACTCGGGTGAGTGTTTGAATTGACTCAAGTTGGCCCTAAACCTGTATGGGTTTTGTGTCCTTTTTGCCTGCTTCTTCATGGGCATTTTCAGGATATGCAGGAGACCCCCAGCTGAAGGTTCCTAACAACATTGCAGCTTGAGCTGGTGCTGTTCCAGGGTCGGACACTGCTTCGGTTCTGTCCATGTGCTGAACCACAAGGACAGGTAGACCTGGTTGGAATAATGAGCAGAGTCAGCACAAAAGTGTCTAGCGGTCTAGCCGTGCTATTCAACTTGCTTGCAGTTTAAGTGGCCGTCCTGCGGTCTCAGAGGCCTTGGATGTCGCCCTGGTGATTCTGCCGCTGTCCTGCCTGCAGTCTCCAGCGTGCCCTGGCTGAGAGCATCGAAGATTTGATCTTTTTCTGCGCTTAGTTTTCTGTTTCGCACATCCTGACTGTAAGGTCTCTTCTCTACAGCAATGCCATTGCGGTTTCCTGCACGCTCCTAGTGGGCCTTCTGCTGTCTCTGCGGAGTTGGGGCCCTTGGGGCTCAGCGAGCCGCTCAGATAAATTAGCCCACTCTCTTCTTCGAGCTGCAGTGTCGCGATCGCAGGCGATCTAATGATCTCCAATCAGTCCAACTTGTCCGGACTGCCTGGGCTCTTGCGAGCAGCCCCTCGTTTTCTTATGCGGTCTGAGGGATGTTGAGAACTGACACCTTGGCTCTTCTACCGAGGTCCCGATAGTCACGCTGTCTTTGGGTTGCCAGGTGCAGGTGCCTCGTACAGTTGTTTCCAGGCGGTGGTTGGGTTAGGCAAGGCATACTGCATAGACATGCTGCCACGCATGCTGCTGCAGGTGCCCTGCATCTACGCCACCCTTGAGAGGCGCTCATTCAAGCGAATGAGATGCGCGATTCTAGCGGCAATGGGTTTATGCATGTTCATCTACACGGTCCAAGCCTCAGGGCAAACGAAATATTCGATGTAGCATGCCTGAGCAGCATGGCAGAAGTGCATATGCTCAGGTGGTGGCCTTGTCTGGTCTGCGTGTTGCCGAGCTTCAAGGAGATGCTCGATTGCACTGAGACGATTTGATGCTTCTCGCTTCCTGGTCTGGGCGAAACCCCTGCCCGGAAGCCCGGAAGCCTGATTATGTTGTATTCGTTGGTGTTGGGAAGGGGAAGAGGTGTAGAGCGAAGCGCGCCCGCGGTCCTTTGGTGGTACTTGCGCAGCCTTGCGAGCTGCTTTCCTGGGCAGGTCACTGCCGTGCCAGGCAATGTTCTGGACCTTTTCGGTTCCAGTGACTGGCTGGGTGGAGCTATGCGTGCGGCCATTTCGGTGTCGCGGCTGAGGTCGAGGAGCTTAAGGTTTAAGGTCCTTAGGACTCTGGTGCGGTTGGAATGGTCCGGGCGTGACGATCCAAGGTGGCCGTGACTCTGGCTTTTCCAATGCTGTGCTTACCTTGCCGACCCTCGTTTGGCAATGATTCGAAAAAGATCCTCTCATTTCAGGCTGTTGGTCTGGCTGTTTCTCTGGTCCAAGTATATAAAGTTTATACAGTAGAGACTTTGTGCTCATGCTTAGGCTCCACCGTAGACCACCTGGTCTTCGGGGGCGGTGCCTTCGCTGCCTCGAATGCTGGAATCCGGCACCGGGTGGAGACACTAGTGGTGGTGACTGGGCCTGTTCTGGTCCCGTTTGCCTGCATGATGAAGACCTAGCTGCCTGAGCAGTAGTGCAACACTGACTTCGCACAACTCTCAAATATACGGGTCCATTGATATAGTTTCAGGCATGGCAGCTGAGAGTTCCGTTGTGAAGTCCCCCGGCTCAGGTTTGCATTACTCTCCTACTCTCAACTACTGAGAGTGACCTCTCGAAAGTCTTCGGTTTCACCGGTGCCACGGCAGGGGCAGTCATTTGCTATGCACCTTGGATCATCTATGAATTTAAATGAGTTTTCTGCTCGCGCTTTGCCCGCAACATGCAATGAAGACTGAACAGACAGGTCTTGCCTCTTTGCTTTTACCTGCGGCTGCGAATGACGCGTCCAGCAGTTGAGCGCCGCTCGACGATTGCCGTTGCCGTGCTGTGCGGCCTGCTGTTGGCCGCGATGATTCCGTGCGTGGCCTCTTGCTTGCAAGCCTCTCCCTCCTCTGCCTTCGCCCTGTTTTTGAGAAGCAAAGCTGCAAAAGGTCTTGGCTACCTGGCAGCTTCTTTGAGGCATGCCTGACGGCAGAAAAGTCTGGAAAGCTTGCAGAGCGTGCTGCAATCTGCCAAGTGCGCGAGTGCAAGAGTCGCACGACTCTTCGTTAGCGGCTGTCGTAGAAACGGACACAAATTGGATTCCGGAAGTGTGATTCATGCTGAGGCCCGATGACCTGCGGGGCTTTGCAAGTTGTGCGGGGCTTAGAAGAGAAAGAGAAGACTACGGGCTCCTTCTGTACCGCATTCGAATCTGAGGCAGTGGTGTGCACCCCGGTCATCGAACCAAGGCCCCGGCAATGACTTTCTCACTCGGGTGCAGGGAACAGATAGAACGAGGTGTTGAAGTTCTTGCCACAACTCACCGATCCCTTTTGGTGAGAGGTGGTTAATGCGCTGAGATCGCTGGACCAAAATCGGCCTGAATCCTGGCAGGTCCGCTTTGCTTGTGGCAGACATGCGCTTCACTCCTCAGCTCGATTCTCCACGTTCTTCCAAATGCACATACTGCACTAGTATGACAATGATGTCTCTGCCCACCTCTGCGGCACATTTTCATAGCTCTCTGTGTAAGCAGGACTCGCGCGCATAGCCCTCTGCCGATTTGTGACATGCAGGCACTATTCCAGGTGAAGTACGCTTTGCTTCGGATGGTGGGTAGCTCGTTCTACACATCCAGCCAGTGCCAGTGCAGGGGATCGCTCTCCTGCTTCGCCTAGGTGTTCGCATGCATTGACACGGAGTCCAACACCAGCTTCGAGCCGTTTGGCTACAATGGCTACAATGCACTCACACGTAGTTACTCAGGGCCCCTTCATGTAGGGCCAGTCACCGTCTTTGAGGCTTTCTCAGACCGTGTACTTGCTGAGAGCTATCAGGCTGAAGCTCCGCGCCTCCGCCTAGCCATGCCTTAGCACTGCGTCACGGGGTCGTCTCACTGCAGGCGCAGCTTCAATGCCTTGGTCAAGGCCAACTCGTCTCAAGGAGGCTTGGTTTCACCTCGCGGGAGAATCAGAGGCACAGGGCCAAAAATCTGCCTCCCCAGGTCGATCGAATGCGCCTTCAAGGCTCGGCCGCCCACGGCTGCCAGCCACGTGTACTCGTACTCGTCCCGATAGCAAGAGGCCTTACTTGGACTGGCGACTGTTCAGCCTTCTCCGCCACCTTTGCCACAGCCTGAAAATGACATGATTTGCAAGAAAATGCAAGAAGATGCGGCTCCTTTGTGGAGGCCTCAGGTGTCGCGGGATGCGTCGCTTCCTCGACGATGCGAAGCTGTGCCAGGAGACTTTGCTGACTCGCTTCCGCTGGAGAGAATGCCGTTGATACATGAAGTTTCGTGGCGGCTATCCTCGAACTGAAGCCTGTTGAGCTGCGAGTGCCCGTGCGGAGGAGGTCGAGCTCCTGCAAGCCAGTCTGGAGCCCTGCCCGGGGTATTGCACGTAGACGGAACATTGGAGGCAATAGCCTGTATAGGCTTGAAAGCGGCTTCCTGGCGCCTCTTCTGCTTCGGGCCTGGAGCTCGAGTTCTCGAGCGTGTTCGAGCTGATGCTTCCTTTGCACGCCTTTGCTCATCGAATTAAGGCTGGGAACTGCTGAACCTGCGCGATCGAGCCCCTTGGAATGCAGACATCGCGAGGCATCTTTGTGCTTGCTCAAGTCTTTTCGAAGGCACTTCCGACGAGGCGGGTGCTTCCTTTTCGATTCCTCGGTGCGGGTTCGATCTGTTACTGTCCTGGCGCCTCCAGTAATTCGCGCAGGACTTCTTCGAATCACTGCAGGGCCAGATGCCGCAGACTAAAGAGCCAGCACCCCGGGCCGGTAGGAAGCCATGGGGTGCGCTGTGTTGCAACAAGTGCTGGTCAACCGAAACCCTAATGCGTGATTCACACGTAAGCAAGCCCTGAGGCTTAAGGACTTGATCGGTGTTGCCATTGATGGCGAGGAGCGTTTCGACTGCAACGCATTTGAGATTGCACACCCGTTCGGCCGAACGATTCTTTCTGAGTTGCTCTTGAGCCGAGGCTTGATGGCTAAGCTTCGGGACGTGGGCGACTCACGGCGACGCAGAGCAGCGGTGCCGTAAAAGCTGGCGCTGCCGCTCTTTGTACATAGGTCAGGGCTGGCCCGAGCCGGGAGTTGCCGTGGAGAGTAGCTGCATCATGCTGCCGAGACAAGCACCGCCACGTAGCTACACTGTAAGAGTGCATTGGAACCCGAGCCAGCTGGATTGGTCTCTGCTTCCAGGTCTGTCACTCGTGGGCACGCTACCACTATTCACTAGAGATCTGGACTGGCCTGTGCCGGCAGCATGAAGTAGTTGGGATCGGGGAGTCCGCGCATGCGTGGAGAACAGGTTCCTGCAAAAAGAGTAACAGCGCCCCCACCCTGCATCATCGGATGTTCTGCAAGCTAATTCGATCGAAGACTGGATCGTTTGGTCGTGTGGAGGGCAGTGTGGCTCCGCGAGATGCTAGCACAACGGCGAGCGACGCCTGAGAATGCATGGGACAGATGCACATGATGGAATCCCGGCACTGAGTGTAGCCCACTGCAGCTGACAACAAAGCCAACACATAGACCCAAGAGAGCCCCTTACGCCCTTACATCTGGCCTTGGACGAACTGGCGAAGCGATCGCCGATGTCCCATGGCCAGACCGCCAAAAAGTCGATGGAGCATCAAGTGGTCGGACACACACATCTTCAAAGCAGAGCAAGAAGGCAGACTAGTGTTGGGGATTCAAAGGTGCACTGTACTCTGTGGTTTTCCTACACGATCAGGTGACAGCATCTCGCCGAGTTGCGTCGAGGTGCCTCGCTCGCATAGTGATTAGAGGAGTCTGGTACGGGCTAAGACCACTTTGGCTCTCCAGTGCCACCCCAGGACTGGTGTCGCACGCTGGACTCGCAGCTGGAAGAACGGTTTGGGCCAACTGTGCCTGCGAAGCTGTCCGCTGCAAGCCTGAATTTTTCTCGATGCAGCCTTGATGACACAGCACCTCGTCTCAACAGGAGTCCAAAGATCACAAGATTCGTCTAAGCCGCACCGACTGCAGGTTTTGCATGGAACCTTACCCGTTGTGCTAAACGTCAGCTTAGTTCTTCAGTTTCGAAGACAGCGTCTTCGATGGTTTTGCCCCTCAACACATCACCTGGCAGGCCCTGACGAAGTTGCTGACGTACCTTTACAGCCGCGACATAACCGTTCAGATCCTGAAGCTCTTCAGGCATGCTCGGGCGGACATGCAGAAGTCTGCACTCGTGTCAGCTGAGAACTCAAGACGAATTTTAACAGTTGTTTATTCCAAGTAGCTCGAAGCCCATATCATTTGATTGAGTTCTTTCCCTGTCGATGCTGTACCAAGGCACGAAGCGAAAAATATACACCCGAATGCACCGGACTACTCTGTAGCAACTGCAGTAACTGCAGTATCACTTGCTGCAAGGGCCTGTCGGTAAGTGACATATGTAGGTCCACTGCAAAGCCAAACAGTTGCAGATACCACGTAGATATCTCGTTGGCGTGCCCAGCATGCCTGGAGATGCGAGAGAGGAGAGTTTCGTTTTTGAAATTTTCTGCATGTTGTATGGAACATGAGCCGCAATACAACGACCAGGAACAACATCACGGACTCCGGAGCCTGGGCTGTCGGCCAGTTCATGGCGCACAGCTCCCAGGCAGTGCATGAAGTGCACCTTAGCCACAACAGCATCTCCGAAGAAGGCGGGGAGCCAGTAAAACGACATGCGCATTCGAGAGATCCTTCGATACAGGGGGCCGGGGTGACGGCAGGTGCCGCGGCGCTCTTAGAGCTTATTGTTGGAGCCTAAGCTGCTCTCTTGTCTTAGACTCTTGCAAGGACCTGAGCTTTCCCTCAGGTCTGGAGCCGGAAGTATCCTTACGCAGCTGAGAATACTGGGCGCCGGGACGCGCGTGGCAGCTTGGGCTGCCATTAAAGAACGGCCTTCAGACAGACCGACGTACCGTCTCCTGGCCTTGGGTGATTTGTGGAGCTCAGCTCCTGCGCTTTGTGCAGGATGTGCTCCACGCAGTGTTGCCATGAATTGACCTTGGCGATGAACCTAAACTCCCCCAAGCTCACTGTTTGCCCCAGATGCAAGCGCACGTCAGGGCTTTCTTCAAGAGTCGAAACAATTGCCCTGTCGTTTGCAAGTGCTTTCTTCACCACAAGCATGCCAGGATTTTCTCCAGGCGAGTCTTTGGCCCCTGCAAGTAAAAAGCTCCAACGTCCTGGGCTTGCTTAGAGGTGAGATGTAAGATGATTATCGTTTTGCTTTTATGGTTTGGCTTTGGCTGTGGTTGCAATCGCACTGCCAGTTGTGGTTGAGGTGTGGTGGTGGACTTGGTTTGTGGCGGCTGTTACACTGATGGAGATCTTGCTTCGTTGTGGCACTTCGTTAGTCTGGTGACTGTCTCATGGTCGCTGATATGATGCAGCTTCTCACTTCTCAGAAGGTATTGTTACTGCTTCTGCTGCATCCGCTTAATCTTTCAACTCTTTTACTGTCAAGTCTTCTTCTTTTACTACTTCTTGTTAAATGTTAGGTTGTGGCGGTCGTTGTCGTGGTGGCCCCGCGGTGCAATGGTGGGTCCAAGGGACGGTGGTGGCGCATGTCTTTCCTGTATTATCCCTGTCGTGGTCGTCGTCGGCGCCGCCGTTTGTTCCCTTGCACGGTATGTCGAGTAGATTAGATGCGGAGCTGGCGAAACTTTGCAAACGATTCGTGGAGAATAAGTTCAAGCCGCACAAGGGGCTTTGCGCTGAGCAGTTGGCTACTGCACGACGGACGGATTGCAGCGGCTGAGGCTTCTCGCCGATCTGGCTACGTCTCGAACACAATTGCATAGACTGGCGCTTAATCGATCACAGGTCGCAGACTCGGTTGCCAAAGATGGGTCTTGCGGTGCGCAAACTGATTGAGGGAGTTGTCCAGAATCCGCTTGCTTCTCAGCCATTCCGCTTGTCGTGCGAGCGTCCTCGTCTAGCAGGCTTCACCGCCCGGACCTCACCTGGACCACGGCAGAGCCATGGCCTCACCGAGCTTATGTGAGGTGAAGGTGGGCGATTCCGTTGTGCCGATGGTCAGGTCTCGAGATAACTGGCCACCCATGGGAGACACTTCGCCAACTATTTGCTTGCATGCCTCCTTCAGGACACCTTTTTGTTCACCTGGTCAAGAATTCGTGGATGTGGTTAAAACGAAAGCAGAGCCGAAGGGCATGCAGAGACCCCGGCATGGCAGCAGCGCTTGCAGGAACCAGTACGACAGCCACGAGCACGGCTGGGACGAGGATGGCAACTGGGCACCTGCTGCTTGGTGTGCACTTTGATACACATTCGAAAATCTTGATGAGCATCATGTTCTGCGATATTCGGCCGGCACCAAGACAGCAAGTCAGGTGACGTAGTCAAACCTTCGGCCCTTTTTGGTGGAATTCATTTGGACATGTTCGGCCACTTGTGGAGAGTTCTGCTTATGGAAAACGAAGCCCAAGAGCCGTACTCCAGACTGCGAGTGACTTGTGACGGTGTGCAATCGCGAGACCCTGTACGCATTGCAACTGCTAGTGGGAGCGAGCTTTAGAGACCCTTCGATGGCTTGGAGTCTCGGACTCGTCGAAGATCGCATCCCAAGAGGCCCCGGCCCCGTCTCAGTCCATCGAAGACTTGGTCACAAAGCCTGGAGTGCTAAAGTTTCAAAGATACTTCACGGGGCTACTAGTACCAGCCCAGGAGCTCTCGAAGTCCCTTGGCTTTCGGCTTCGTAGTGTCACAACTTCAAGACATCGCTGAGGCTGCACATGCCAAGTTCTGAACAATGGCACGAAGAACATCGTGTTGGAACCCCCACCCCTGCGAGATCTTAAAAGACCTGACAGAAACAGTCTTGAACGTCGTCTGGCTAAAAATCTTCAGCTGTGCAAGGGATATGCAGCAGCGTCAGCCACTGCTGATGATGGGGGCTCGTTGCTGCTGGCTGCCCTCAAAGGAGATGGTGCCCAGGACTTCGACAGGCCCATTGCAGGACCCAAGAGGGCCATACCCAGAGCCCCGAGTTCGGGTCCTGCGGCAGGCAGCCTGTGCCCAAGCCCCGGCCTGCACCGCTGGGCGCTGCGGTGACGGCGCCGGGGTATCCTGGCCGAAGGCCAAGCATCGGGCACCGTGGGTACATCCGGGTACTGAGGCCAAAGCAGCCCGTGACATCGCCAGTCCTGAGCACCTCTCCGTTGCAGAGCGATCGAGGCCACAGAGCAAATTTGCGATGCGAGGTAACTAGCAGCCGTGGAGTTGATCGAACACCGGGTCTGTTCAGCACTTGCTCCTGTTGGAAGGCTATCCCTCCCCAACTGCGATGCGACCGCCAACAAAAGTGCCGCTCTCCTCTACCCCTCTCAGCCCGACCCGCCAGGCAGAGTTCGCTGAGAGTCGAAAGCGATAGACTAAATCGTACAAATGTCAGAGAAAGAGCCGACTTGGTGTGTGAGTGGATGCGATCAGGCACCCATGCAACCGGGCCCCGTGCAGCAACTGACGGAGACCCAGGCGGGAACTCCGCCTGTAAATCACCGTCTGAGTCTTTGCGTGTAGCCTATTGTCATTGAAAGCTGCGATACCCCTCCTCTCTCTCCACCGTGAGGCCGCAGCACTCTACTTGCTCCGTGGCGGAAGCCCATAGGTAGGTACACCTCCACACGTCGCCACAGTTCGGCATCCAAGGTTCCTGGATGCAGGCGCTGCCCACCAGATGCTCACACGCGAGGACAAGCAACTTCCTCTGGTTGGATGCCGTAGGTACTCGTGGCTTGGGATTCTGAAGTTGAAGCCTCGCCTGGCACGCCAGGACGGTATGTATCGATTTCAGGGCCTCTTGAACCTCGCAGCGACAGGGCATATGCGCCTCGGCAGCATTTCGGCCTCTGACTCGGAACAGCTGTGCAGAAGTTGCGACCGTGCAGGAAGTGCATCCCGGATGATGAGAGCTGTCAGCTGCCTCCGTGGGTGGGGGAAGTGCAGGTCACCGGAGCGGCTGAGTTCAGAGGGCATGCGAGGTGCCAGGTGTAGGGCTGCTAGGGTTTGCAGAGCACTTCGAAGAGGATTGCGAGCAGACAGTTACTGTCTTGACCCGAGACGTGCTCAAAGAGACTTGGACGAAGCTATGAGCCAGTTTCAAGCTTGTATCCAGACAAGAGTCGAGGCCCGAGCCTTTAACCGGACAGGCAAAATTGAGCAGACAGTCTCCCGTTCTTACGGGCGTGTTGTTGTTGTCCGTCTTCCCAGAGGCTTCTAAGCGGTCCACAGGCCGTCGAAGCCCCCAAAGGCCAGAAGGCCATTTGTTCAAAACCGGTCGTGTCGTTCTGTCTTTGTCAGTCGGTAATGTTGTGCCCCGTTTGGTGAGGTGTGCGTTCGCGGGTTCTGCTTATTTGACGCAGCGAACTTGTTTATGTAACTTCTGTCGGTGTGCAGCCAGCATGGGCGCGTAGATCAATGGCCCATAAATGGGATGCAGAGCTCGTTTCCCTTGTCTAGGAATTTCTGCTATGCCGCTTGAGGAGCAGTTTCGGGCCTGACTTGCCGATGGAGTAATGCACACATCCCCACACATACACACTCACTCCTGTAGTCCTTCTCCTGACTACTCTAGAGACAGCGCCTGAAGGACAGGTTTTCAATATCTCTGGCGGAACCCTCGGCCTCTGAGACCAAAAAGGTCGTCTTGTGAAGAATGATGCTATTGAATGTCTTGCTGCCTGCTTCAGCTGTTCCAGAGGGTTGTTTCTTGAACTTTTACACTTTACACTCCAAATCACAAGAATTAATCAGGACTGGCACAGAGACCAAATTAGGACAGGTCCGATCAGGGACAGGACATGGTAGGCAACCATACCGCAAGTGATGTGCAGCGGTCATCACTTGGACCACACTTGTGGAATCCTCCTCTGGCTACTTGTGTCATCCGCTACTTAACGAAGGTCTGAATGTGATCACAATTGCCGAGACATAAGCCACCGTGGAGACGATGTGTTTTCTCAACAGTGGCATCGAATCAAAATTGAAGCTGGCCTCACTGGAGATGCTAAAATCTCACAGAGGGCTTCCTTGGGCAGAGCTCTGTAAATCTGCGCAGTTGCACCCTTTGACTGGGCCACCAGATGTTTCTGGTTTTCCTTTAGCCTAGCGTTGATACGCTCACGTTCCTCGAGGAGATCTTGGTCGTCAGCAGGCTCCTCGTAGTCGAGGTTCAGTTTACGCCGATTGACCCTGAAATAACCGCCGCTGTCGGGATCAAAAAGAACCACGAACTTGTCCTTCTCCTTTTTAGGAGTTTTTGGTCGGAGAACGATGCATGACATTGCCTTTGGTCACCGGGCTTGACACACACACACACACACACACACACACTTTTGCCCAGGCTCTACCAGCTAGGAAGACGCATGACAGAACGTTCCTTGCTGCATGACCTCGTCCGGTGCAGTCAGTGTGAAGTCACTTCAGTCTCCGAATACATCCGAGGAGCTCGAAGATACTCACCGCGAAGATCCTTACATGCGTCAAGAAATCGATCGCTACAACAAAAAGGACACTACTGTGAAGTGGCAATGCCATGACAATTGCTTCTTTCCGATGGAAAGTCGTACGGAATTGGGCTTGGAGAGACGGTCCATCCACATGTGAGGATCCAAGCTCGGTTATCCAGCAATGCGATGATTGGGGCTTGGTAGAGGCCTATTCGAATGACCTCCGATGACTGTCGTAGGCTACGTCGCATTCGGTTGGCGCCGAGAAGCCATGCAGGTAATTGACTCCCAAGTGCACACGTCCCGCATGCATATCGACAAGCAGCTGGAGGAGCGGTATCCTGGGTTCACTGACCTGTAGTCGAGGAGACTTTGGCGAGTGCCCGCAGCATGCACTGCTATGTTCACGCGCCTCATATCCCTGCATTGCTGCCTGCGGCACAATTGATAGTTGCAAAGATGACACCAACTTCCAGGCAAGGGCTGTGGAGATGCACGTCCCTGACTCTTCGCTCAAGGTGCGCAGTTCTAGCGGCTGAAAGCATGTGGGGAAATCCTCGTGCAAAGTAGTCGGTAAGGCATTGAGAGCATAGACGAGCAAGCATGCGCACTGTAATCATGAAAACAATGTAGATTGACTGGAAGGTCTTGGACTTTGCCTGCGTATGGCAGAGGCCCTAGCGCAAGGCAAAGACAACCCCGCAGCATGACGCTTTGTGGCTCCGTGTTGGACCGAAACTCTAATCTGACGCCTGCCTTATGAGATTGCAGTGATCCCAACTCTCCATGTAGCTCAGGCAGCAGCAGCGACTTGGAAGCACTTGAGCTGCCTCCGGAATGTATATTGATACTTGGTGTTGGCTGTTAGTTCTCTGTACGTATTCTTATGAACCTAAGTAGTTATCTGCATATACTTTGTACGTTGAATAGATAAGGCAAGGCAGGACGGTATGAACACCCTTAGAGAAACTCATGCTGCATTGAGTTGCAAATGTCAGGAAGAAATTTTGCCCGTACCTGCGCCGTACTACTAGTATGTGGACTAGTAGCAGCAGTAATAGCAGTGGCAGTTATACTAGTTGTAGGTGAAGCAGTAGTAGGATAGTAGAAGTAACAGTAGTGGTGGTAGTAGTAGTAGTAGCAGTAGCAGTAGCAGTAGTAGTAGTAGTAGTAGCAGTAGTCGTAGCAGTAGTCGTAGCAGCAGTAGCAGAAGCAGAAGTAGCACTAGTAGCGGCAGCAGCGGTCGAAGTAGTAGTAGTAGTAGTAGTAGTAGTAGCAGCAGGAGTAGTAGTAGCAGTAGTAGCAGTAGTAGTAGTAGTAGTAGTAGTAGTAGTAGTAGTAGTAGCAGGAGTAGTAGTAGCAGTAGTAGCAGTAGTAGTAGTAGTAGTAGTAGTAGTAGCAGGAGTAGTAGTAGCAGTAGTAGTAGCAGTAGTAGCAGTCGTCGTAGTAGTAGTAGTAGTAGTAGCAGCCGTCGTCGTAGTAGTAGTAATAGCAGCAGCAGCAGTAGTAGTAGCAGCAAAAGCAGCAGCAGGAGTAGGAGTGGTGGTAGTAGTAGTCGTCGTCGTCGTAGTCGTAGTCGTCGTCGTAGTCGTCGTCGTAGTCGTAGTCGTCGTAGTAGTAGTAGTAGTAGTAGTAGTAATAGTAGTAGGAGCAGTAGGAGTAGTAGCAGCAGCATTAGTAGTCTAGTACAAGTACTAACGGTAGTATTAGTAGTACTAGAAGTGGGATCTGCAGTAAGAGTAGTAGTGGCAGCATGTGGTAGTACATGGATGCATGTGGTAGTGGTAGAAGGAGGCGAAGGAGGAGGAGGAGGACGAGGAGGAGTGGGAGTAGCGGCTGGCAGTGGTAGTGCTGGTGCCCGTTCTTGTTCCAGTGGTAAGTCTGGTACAGTAGAACTGTAGTAGTAGTAGTTGTTGTTGTTGTTGTTGTTGTTGCCGTCATCTTGGTGGTCGGAGTCGTCGAAGGAGCAGTCGTCGACATGGTAGATGCAGAAACAGTAGTAAGAGGTTGTGGTTGTCGTGGTGGTGGTAGTCGTCGACGGAGTAGTCGTCGTCGACATAGTAGAACTAGAAGAAGTAGTAACCAATAGGAGTCATATCAGTAGCAGCAGTTGCAGCAGCGGTAGCATAAGCAGTTGCAGTGGGAGTCGGGTCGCAGTCGTAACAGGAGTGGCAGTGGCACTGTGTATGTATGTGGAAAGTGGAGGAGGCGACAGCAATGCGAGGTATAGTCACGAGAATACAACAGCAACAGATCAGCAATGAAGGGTATGCTTGTGGCAGATACCATCCTTGCAGTCATTCTCATCATTGTAATCTGGCCGCCACTTGCAAGCGAGAGCTCAGCCCCGCCCTTTTCAAATTTCTTGCTCCAGGGCGGAAGCACCAGGCCTGGCTGGGGCCCGCCGGGCACAGGGGATCAGGGGATGGTTAGCAATGTTAGCAATCCCTGAAAGGATGGCGCCAGAAGCGAAGTGCACGACATGCTGTAGCCGGGGATAAATATAGTATGCGCGTATAATTGTCAGAAAGGGTCAGGGAGAGTGTGGCAAAGCAAGGGTACACGGAGACAGAGCTTAGCTGGAAAATCGTGCGGAGGCAGAGTCATGGTCATAACGGAAGATGTTGCGCTGCGGAGCTTTAGCGCTGAGCTGCCCTCTTCCAAGACCTGGCCAGGCGCAACAGTCGTGCGCGGAAGTGCCGGTGTCGAGTCACCTTAATGTAGCAGGGTGAAAGAGTGTTCGAAGGGGGCACTACGTGCAAGACGCTGTGAGATCACCTTTTTTGCGAGCGTGAGAAGCGCCTCGCCTCACAGGCGTAATCCTGCTGGGAGAGCTGAACCAGCTGCTTTGGCAGGCTCAATGCTCAATGGGCCGAATTGAGACGAGAAAAGTTGTTGCCACGGATCGAAGGACGATACCTACGGCGGCAGGATTCTTTCTGAGATCTCTGCTCAACCGCGGCCGAAGCCGCCGATGCAGTTTCGTGGCTGCAAGATCCGAGGCTGCTGCCCAGGGCTTCGTCTTAGATTCCTCGGACTTCGACTTTTACGATCACAGCGTCGTATTGAAGCTTGTTGCCCCCACCACGAACTGTTCCACCAGCTGATCGGAGTCGCTGCCATGCTTGGATGAGAGTGTCCTAGATTTTTGCGTTGCTTGACTCTGGCCAATCCGAAGAGCCGAGGCCGGCTTACCAGGGAGCGATGCTGCAAGCTGCACTGGTCTGCAAGGCCCTTCCGTCCCGATTTGCAGTCGGGAACTTCACAGCTTATCAGGCTTGATTGTCAGCCTTGTTCTTTTAGTTGGTCCACTGTCTGCTCCTGTCGAGGTAGCTTCCTTTCGGCACGACAATGTGGACAGGCCGGGATGGGATCGAAACGCACCTGTGAATGACCATATCATGGTGTGGCTACAAGTTGTGGCCACGTGCTGTATGGCATTTCCGGCTACCGAATCTGCTTAATCAAATGTGTATTCCGTCCAGGCACAGATCTGCTGCATGCACCTGTAGAAAAGAAGTGCATCTGTCACGTTTTGAAGGGGGC